GATTGACATCTTGTTTATTGTTACCTGGATATAATGTCTTTTTTCCTCAATTAGATGCCTTTCTTAAGTTTGCTGAAAGAGTTTTATCTTTTTCGTTTACTCTATAAAGTAACCCCTAAGATATATCTCCTGTAGACATATTTATACTAGAATTGTAATAAGTGAACAGAAATAATGAAAAAATAAACTTTTTTGTACTAATTAAATTATTTCTTTTTTTTTTAAGCAAATGTACACTGTCATACATCAAATTAATTATTTGATCTTTATAAGTGATCAAGAAATTTTATTCTGGTTTATTTGTTCCATAAATGCTGAGCAATTTTGAATAACCTGACAAAGTTCGATGGTTATCAGCAATCAATGTTAAAACTAGCAGATGTAATGTATTTGAACTTTCTTCTATTTCATCTTTAATAAAATCTCCAGTGACACTAGCCTCTGGGATAGCTTTTATTAAGAGATTGATCTTTTGAAACCAACGATCATAAACACAACTATACCTTTGTAAAGATTACCTTCAGTATCTTGTCCAAGTAATCTACTACTATGGTATTCACGAGACTGCTGTAAAAACATTTCATCAAAAGGAGAATGCAATCATTGCTTATTTTTCACTGATCAAAAAATCATCACAATTATTATTAATAATTTTAATGATTTCATTGAATCAAATCCACCAGATACTAACTTTTCAATAGTGAAATTGATGGTAAAGGAAGTTGTTTCAAATAAGAAACAAACCTGAGATGATGAATACCTTTGTATTAGTGCAAAATGTAATACTTCTGAAGAATATGGAGGACGAATTTTGGATTTGTAAAAGACTAATTTGGACAGTTCATTAACTAAACAATAATTCTCTTCAACAAGGTTGTGCATATAAGATATAAGTGCACCAAATTATTTAAAATAGATAAGCTTGTAAGCTCACAATTGTTAATTCTTGTAAACCATTGTGGAAGTTGTAGTGGACAACTTTTATAATGCAACTTTACATACAAATTGTTATCAATACTTGTTGATTCAATAAAAGGAATGGAATCTACAAAAAATAAACGAAAGTATAAAACAAAACTTTCATATCTTTGACAACTAAACCCATTTGGAAACTTAGATTTATGAAATCAATATTTTTTTATTTTACCCATTTCTTGCAATGTATGAATTTCATCTAGAATAGTGGAATCTCGTTCAGTTCGAAAGTTAGGAACTTTAGGCTTTATTGAAGATGGAATTCAAATTTCATCAATATAAATGGTTGCAAAAGGGTTTAACTCATGTCTTTAAGTAACTCGTTTCCCATATTTTATGGTTCAAAGTGATCCAAATATAAAACTTTTTCTGTTAATAAGTTTTATCCATTTTCCTTCTAAATGAGTATCTTTAGAGAAACTAAAAACAGCATTACTTGCAAAAAGAGAACTAGATTCACTTTTTTTAGATTTATAGCCGGTTTGATTATTAACAACTGCACATTTTTCCCCTATTATAATTACTATCTTCTTAAATTAAAAAACAAATACAATATTAACTAACAGTTAATATTGTTAAATAGCCAAATTGCAAAAAACTGGCCTTCTAATTTTTGGCTTATTTATTCAACATATCCGGTCATGCATGTACAACTAATTTTTCAACCCACTAAATCGTTGTATTTTTGACCTACAGAATTTTCAACCTACTGAATATTCAACCAACTGTGATGTCAATTTTATAACTACGTCCGGTATATATTTTGTATATTTTGTTGTTGATTAGAATACGAGCCAAATTTGATCAGCCTTGTCGCAGTGGTTAAAGCGCTGTCTTCAGAATCAGGAGGTATAAGGTTCGATGAATGCTTGGAAAACTTATTGATTGTTAATTTACAATAAAAAGTTATAAATCGGTTCAAAATAAAAAAGACTATAATCGGTTGAAACCAATTTAGGCCTCAGTAGGTTATCTGAAAATTATATCCACTTTTTAGTAGATGTTCTTTTTGTAGAATAACTTAGTAGGTCGAGATATTTGTAGGTCTAACTACCTGACACTCTATTACATCTCAGCGTTCATAAATTATGACCATATAAAATTTAAACCCCCCTAAATTTGAAGGAGTTACAAATTTTATATGGTCATAAATTTTGAACGCTCATGACTTTTGAACGCTTAGATATTTTACAATACTTTATTATATACAAAAATTTATTAATGGATATAAATTTTACTATACAATACTTTATTATATACAATACTTTATTATATACAATACTTTATTATATACAAAAATTTATTAATGGATATAAATTTTACTATACAATACTTTATTATATACAAAAATTCATCCCCCCTGCCCCAAACGAGAGAGCAACAAGATTATACAATACTTTATTATATACAAACATTTATTAATGGATATAAATTTAGTTAAGATTAGCAAAAAATTAAAAAAAAAAATTATTTTATAATCTTGTTGCTCTCACGTTTGGGGCAGGGGGGATGAATTTTTAGAGCTTGTTTGCTCCCATCCTCCCTTCATTGCATTTTTTTAATAAGCATCATTATTTGGCATCATTATCAAGTATAAACATACAAATGTCTGAATGTCAAACACCAAAAAATGCTGGGTCCGTCACTTTCACAGATCTTTTGTTTCTAAAACAAATTTGCTTCAGAATTCGAGTATGTACAATAAATAATTATATACATATAAACTTTTAGATAAATATCTCAAGAAAATATGTAAAAATTTTTTAAATGTACTTTTAAGGCTCAGAGTTTGCAGTTAGGTATCGGATCAATATTTAAATTATTAGAACCATTCAATAACAATAAAGCGAGAATGCAGCCACCGTAGCTAGCTCCTTGAATCCACTCATATTCTATTTTAATAGTTTTTTACTAGAACTCTTTGTTTGAAGTAGCTTCATATGCTTCTCCAAGCTCATCACACGCTGTACTTTAACTTGAATAAAATTTACTGAAATTTACTAAAATTTACATCTTTTCGGACCACTCTTTACTTTTGAATGCAGTGCTTTTTACCATTTTTGTAATGTGACTTCGGTTAAAAGACGCTAACGCCACTACCAAACACCTCTATAGTTTTACCATGATTAGAATACCATCTATGCAGCAGGCTTAATATACATCTACCAATAGTCTTGTTTATCCTAAAAGTGTGAATTAAAAATAATGCAATGTAGATAAAATAAGGTTTAAAGTGACACTGCTAAAAACTTATTACATTTAATTTAGATAAAATAAAATCAAAGTGTTATTTCTATTAATTTAATTTTTATTATATTTCTACTGATTTTAAGAAAAGTCTGTCATTGGAAAAAAAATTAGTTCAGGGTTACTTTCTTCGTATTTTACATCTGATTTTAAACCATTTTGCAAACCAAAGTATACAAGCAATTTGTTACATTATGACAAATTATTTATAAATATTAAGACTAAAATATCAAAACTTATGAAATTAAAAATTGCAGAATCAGAAAAGTCGCAGGTCAAAAACCGCGATGCTCAGGAGAAAAAAATGTAATCAGCCATTCTATTGATCTCTTTGAGTATTTTATTACTCAGAATAAAAATCTGGCTGCTTTTAGAGAAATGCAACTTAAATTTTATGAAATTTAAGACGTGTGAAACAGCTAAATATTTGTTAATTTTCACGTAATGGTCTACTTTTTTTTCGCAAGGTCACAATAATCTCTGCACTTCTCAAAAGTCAAATAATTTCAATAATTTTAAAATTAGAAACTTACACATTTTGTTTTTGCGAAAAGCTTTTTTAAAGTAAAGTAGTTTTATCTTTACCTTACTCTTTTTTAATCTTTAGTTGTTTTATGATATCAATAGTTTATTCTCTAGCTAAGGGTTCGTCCATAAACTACGTCACGTTACATGGGGGGATTTGTTGGCGATCACGTCACGTTACATGAAGGGATTTGTTGGGGGATTTTGTGATTTATTACGAGGGGGAGGGAGTCTCCAATTTTGTGACGCATAATTTATTTTTTTTAAGTTTTAAATCTAGATAAGATTATCTTTTAATTAAAAGAGTATCTGACCAAACCACAACCCTCAATTGATGTATCTACATGTTGATTGTAAAATCAACTGCGCCTAAATCTTACTTTGCGCCTAAATCTTACGTACACTCCCTTAACGGAGTAGTTACAGCCTGTTAACGGACTGTTACTGTTGTAACATTTTTTGTGCCTTGTACGTTCTGCGCTTTAATTTAATATGGTCTAAGTGCAGAACTTATTTAGTTAGTGCACAAAAGTGTGCAGCAATAAAAAAAGAAACTAATAGAAGCAAGGAGTTATAATAGCTTAGCTGGAGGGAGACAAAGTTAAAATACGTTCCTAATGGGAAAAAAGACGTCAAAAAGACGTCTTTAAAAGTCTTATTTACGATGTCTTAAAGACGTCTTTTTTTAAGCGATTATGCAAATCTAAGAGACATCTTTTTTCGACATCGAAAAGATGTCTTTTTTTTAACTTAATCTTAGCTGAAAAGACATAAAAAATGCGTCTTTAAAACGCCTTTTTTTATTAGTTATGCACTTCTAAAAAAGTGTTTTTTCTCGGGGTCGGAACGACTTTTTTCCCATACTTATTAGTATACTATAGTATCCTATACACTATAGTATTCCTACTTTTCATATATGAAAAGCTATTTTTTTCAAATGAAAATGATAATAGCTCTTCATACAATGTATGACAAAAAGCTCTTTACCAGTGGCACGGACGTAAAAAAGACGCCTTTTAAACGTCTTATACACGTTTTGGACGTCTTTTGAACGTCTTTTGAACGTTTTGGACGTCTTTTGAACGTTCAAAAGACATCTTTTTTTGGTCCTGTGCCCACTGGGTTGCGATGCCGAAAAAAAACCTCTTTTAGATGTCAATATAAAAGAGGAAGAATTTTCTACATCTTTTATATGTTTAAGTATAGGAGAATAATTTATAAATAAAACAATACTATTGTTCAACAGAATATTTTTTCATCTTTCTCTTTCTTTTCTGTTTCTTGAGTGAGCTCTGTTTCTTGGCGTTGTTGAACAAAATTAACAATTTTACGTCGAGAAATCCTTTCATTCGAGCAGGTTGCGACTTCTAGCTGGTTACCACTTCTAAAAAATGAGTGATCATAAAAAAAATAGTCTATTGCTTAAATGTAATACAAAAAAAGCAAACGAAACTTGATTAGCTGAGTGGAGGACATTATACTTACCGACTATTAATTCAAAAAGAGCTGATCCTTTTAATCCACTCATGTTTCCAGTGCGGTCCCTTCTTTTTGAACCCACTAGGTTAGATTGGGACAGGAGTCAAACGGTAAACAGTCTAAAAGAATATAAAAATGAGTGTGCTAAATAAATTTACAACCGTCAAAATGACTGTACAACGATGTATTTTATTGAGTAGTACTTAAATCAAGCTAAACATTTGCACCTCTCAGATATGCTATGAAAGCCAAGTTATTAAAAACAGATATTGATATTTTTCTGTCTTCTATAACATGACTTTTTAATTGAATTAGGGCTGTACCGGATTTCGGCTCCGGCTCCTGCTCCGGCCGAAATCCGGCCATTTTTACAAATCCGGCCCAAATCCGGCTCCGGCAAAAATTTAGCAAATCCGGCATAATTTTAGCCGGAGTTTTGAGTTTTGTCAAATATTTATTACATTTTTTTTGCCCGTGTTTACATGTATACCTAATATTTTATTTATAAAAATCAATTTTTTTTGTAATTCTATATTTTATGAACCTCATATTTGTTTTGGTATTTGTATTTATATTTCTTTATAATTTAATAAGCTTAGTCTAATTTCAAACAACAACGCAACAAAAAATTCTGAAGGGAAGACACACGATATTCTACAATGATGCAGGTATAAAGACTATGATGTCAACCCTAATCAAGTGATTGGATGAGCGTTTTAAAAGCATTGAAAAAAGAAACCTCTTTATATACTGACGAGGCTGGTTGACTCACAATTTAAAACTAAATTCTCCTCATTACAGGCAACACTGACAGCTAAAAAAACAAGATTGAAGTCAATCTGAGCATGCTGAACAGAAAATTGACAAAACTGAAGAAAATCCACCAAAATAAGCCGGGCTTAATAATTTTTCTACATCATCATCATTATTACTCTGGCAATTTATTGATAAAATTATTCAGTCTACGTCCGCTGGTGGCAGGGCACATAAACAACAATTACTAAAAGGCATTAAAACTCAACTAAGGAAATATCCGAAAGAACCAGAAATAAATAGACACAATGATTCACTACAGTGGCGGAGTGACAAAATTCCGGAAAAAAAGTTCAACAGAATTACTATAAACTTTTAAAACATATGGCCTATAGAATTTCTTTAGAATTTCTATTAATTTATATATAGAAATTGCTATAAAACTTTTTAAATAACAACAATGAAGTTTAACAGAAAACAGCAGTCACTTGGTATTCTGAATAGTCCACATTGTTGACCATGCTCAACACCAAGTAGGGATGTACAGGATTTTGGCTCCTGTAGTTTTGTTTTGAAATCCGGCTCCGGCTCCGATTCCGGCCGGATCTGTCAGTAGAAATCCGGCAAATCTGGCTCCGGCCGGATTTGAAAAAATTAAATCCGGTACAGCCCTAAATTGAATATCGCTGAAATTAAGTGTTGTAGATTCATAACAATTTAAAAATCCGTTATTGAATAAAGACTATCAAAACAAAAAGATAATTCAGCTAATACACATTGAGAGCTGTTATTCATTTAAACTGGAAAAAGTATTAGTCAAAGCTCTATTTTAGCCTGAAACATAATGATGCTTTACTTAACAACATAAAATCATAAAAACTGGCAATATCATTAGCAACACAGATGAAATACACATAAACAAAAGTGGACAAGTAAGCTACAATGATGTTTAGATATAAGAAAGTGTACCTTTCCAGTATTATTTTCACTTGGTTTTTTGTATCCAAACCAAAAATTTTGCGAACAGTTCTTAAGATAAATCTGTTGTCATTATGTGTATATTTTTAATTGCTTTGTTAATGACAGACAACAGTTAACAAGGAAATAACATATTTAACATAAAAGTTAAAGAGCCAATCTTTTGTATAAACAATTTCATCATTCAGCTGAATAAAAACAACAAAATTATTCAGATCATTTAAAAATATATTAAAAAAAAAATTGCAAGCCTACTGAATGCTTCTTTTTTTCTATCGTTCGTTTCACTGGCACTTGAACAAGTAAATATAGACAGAAATTGTTTACAGGTTTTATTTTTCGTCTGAAAATAAATATTTTAATTTAATATGTAATAAACAACGTTCTTCAAGCACAATACATTAAAAAATTAGTCTAAAAATAAATGGTAAAACTTTTTTTAAACACTTACCTGTGACTAACTTAATTGAGACTAGATCATATATATATATATATATATATATATATATATATATATATATATATATATATATATATATATATATATATATATATATATATATATATATATATATATATATATATACACTGTAAAAAATGTCACGCCAAATTGTCTAATAAAATTGCCATGTCACGAAGCCCGATTTAACCCGCGACATTTAGAGTTAAAACTGTCACGCGACTTTTAGATATTAAGTTTGGCGCGACATTTATAATTAAATCAGTCACGCGACTTTTAGCAATTAAATATGGCGTGACATTTATAATTAAATTTGTCACGCGACTTTTTAAAAATAAGTATGGCGTGACAATTTAATTTCTTATTTGTCACGGGACATCTAAAACACTATCGTTTCGCATGTCACCAAGCCCGATTATTCACGCCACATTTAAAAAATTTAAATTTGGCGCGTTAAATCGGGCTCGGTGACATGCGACACGATAGTCCCGTGACAAATAAAAAATATAAATGTCACGCCATACGAAATCTCTAAAAATCGCGTGACTAATTTAATAAATGGCACACTTTACTTAAATTAAATAAATAAAAAGACCAAAGAAATAATGAAAATTATATTTTATTTGTATAAAAAGTAACCATCATCAAACATAAATATTTAATTTTAAATTGTCTTAATGTTTTTATTCGAAGAGTTGAACAGTTGCAAAATACAACAAAACCTTTTACAAGACTCGGCATTTTTTTAACCAAACCCGACGGGCATTTGTTTTTAAAAGTTACGTTCTAAATGTCTTTTAAATGTCTTTTAAACGTCTTCTAAACATTCTTACGCAAAAAACGTTTAAAAGACATTTAAAATACATTTAGAACGTAACTTTTAAAAACAAATGCCCGTCGGGAAGCTTATTTGTACAAGCAAATGGTATTTGCAAGACGTAATGCTGCAACGATCTCGGGTACGACAAGTCCATAATATAATAATAAGCAATTAATTGAAGCACGTGTAGGGAATCATTATGCCGATGACCAATCGCAATTACTTTCCCTTTATCAACAAATGTTATTTTCTCTCCTAAAATGAGTTGCGGCCCAGGAGAAGAGACGTTATCTTCAGACTAAAAATTTGTTAAAAAATAAAAATTTAAATCTATTTTAATAACATAACATTACAAAAATAAATAACAATTTAAAAAATCCAAAAAGAAACAACTATATGTTAAACTTACACTAGCAATAACAATTGGACACAACACTCCTTTTCTGGTAGTGTTCTTATGAAATCGTATTAGGGCAGACGGAATATCTAAACTTGGATACAACTTTTCAACGACTTGCAATAGCCTCTCTAATGCAGCTTCTTTGGAAACAATGCCCATTCTTTCAAATTCGTCCATGATCTATAAATTTTTAACCCATTTGGAATAACTTTTTGTTAAAAATGCGCAAAATAAAAATTTATTAAATAAATAACAAAAAACTTATTACTTATAAAAGTTAAATGTGATCGCTTCCCTCCCAATAAGGGAGGAAAGGGATCACATATAAACGACCGCATATATATATATATATATATATATATATATATATATATATATATTATATATATATATATATATATATATATATATATATATATATACATATATATATATATACACATATATATATATATATATATATATATATATATATATATATATATATATATATATATATATATATATATATATACATATATATATATATATACACATATATATATATATATATATATATACATATATATATATATATATATATATATATATATATATATATATATATATATATATATATATATATATATATATATATATATATATATATATATATATATATATATATATATACACACACATATATATATATATATATATATATATATATATATATATATATATATATATATATATATATATATATATATATATATATATATATATATATAATCTTTAAATAAATAACAATTTTTTTTTAAATTGTTGTTTATTTAAAAATTATTACTAAATTAGTGCTACTTAGACCATTTGGAAATATATACATGCTTACAATTTCTGGATGGAACAGGTGCTCTTTGTGTTCTGAATATGGCAGAGAACACTTCATATTCCTAACCAAACAACGAATATGATCCATATCATGAACTCTTTGTACCAAAGCAAACTAACATACAAAGAAATTACAATAACTCTAAAGTAAACCTTATTAAATTCTTCCTGTATATATTAGGTAATAATAATTTTTATTTAGAATATACTGATTAAAAACATTTCTTTTAAAAAAGGGCTCATCTGTATAACCTGTATAAAAAAGAAAATTTATTATTATCACCCTAAAAAAGAAAATTTATCATTGAAATAATATCTGATGAATTAAAAAAGTGGCATATTTTGTGTAACACATGGATGTGTTACACGAAACATGCATAAAACTAAAGATTAAAAAAAATTGAATCTATATCTATTTGAATTTAATTTTACCCTTATTTGGAGTAATTATCCATACCTTATGTTCTGCTTAATTAAATATCTTTTAAAAATGATGTTGTGAACTATTTATTGGTTTTTATAATTTATATTTGGGTATATAATTTATTTTTGGGTAATATTTCACTGATGTTTTATGGAAAATTTACAAACATTAAAGTTCAAACTTACTGCACCCTCTTCTCCAAAAGTATAGGTTGGGTATGACTGTTTCAAAAGGACAGTTAAACGATTATAGAACCTTTTTCTTATTGAAGGGTTTCCCTCTGGAAGACACTCTTCAAGGTGATGCGCCAATTCACTACAAACATCTTTTAAAGTATGCTTACGGCAAGGCACCAAACCATTTAAATATTTGCTGCACTCCATTGAATATTATTTTATATTTTATGCATAAATTGGGTAAAACTATGACAATTTTATTACAAACTATATTTAACTAAACAACATTAGATAGCAATATCTTTAGGCATAGAATAAAATAATAGTATAAAAATAGCAATTAGATTATCTAATAGATATTATTTTATAAATTGTATTTTAAGCTTATTTTATAATTTTACTTTAAATAAGTAAAATTAATAAATAACTTTGATAACACTATTGTCACAAATTTTGAAAATATATACTGAAAGTAAAATTGTTATCTTAAAATTGTAAAAAAATTTTAGTAACTGTAACTATGTATACCTAAAGATATTAGCATACGTATCTTGGTATGCTAATATCTTTAGGTTTGGATTAACTTAAACAAAAATAAAAACCAAAATAAAAATTAAAAACTAAACCTGTAATAAAATTGTCAGAACAAATTCTAGAATAATATAAATCAAAAGATAACTTTTCAGGTTTTATTGCAATAAACCATTTACTTTTAGTGCAATAATAGTAAATATTTTAGTGCAGCAAAAAACTTCTTTCTGTTGTTGTTGAAATCCTCGTTGTGATTAGAAATTTTGATCGAAATACAAAAAAATTACTTAAACAACTTTCGATTTGATTAGCCAAAAATACAACCAAAAAGCAGGACTTAGATGCTATCAAAATTATACCAATAGATAAAAAAAATTTAAATATGACATAACAATCAATGTGTATACACATTGATTATTATATACTATTAATTCCGTATTTGTTTGTTTCTCGAACCACCATTATTAAAAGTTCTATTTAATAAAAAAAAGCTAGTATGGCCAGGTCACACAGAAACTCTGACATAAATAGCCTAATAAAGTTTTTTTTATACAATAATAATTGTAAATAATCGATTGGCAGTCCAATTGCTAATAATAGTATTGTACACAATAGCATTGTGTAAAGATAATCGTTATCGTAGTGTATAACATTGTAAAACGAGATTGAAATACTCAATGATGCATTAAGAATAAGAATTATAAATAAAGAATAGGTATTCCTAATATATCATTGAAAATACTTATCTCAGATTAATTATCAACTTACTTTACTCTCATAAGTTATGACAATTTATGTAGAGTGCATTTTTAGCTAATATTTTAAACATTAATGGTAATGTAATAAAAAGTAAAACTCGTAAAGAAATTCTTACCTTTAGATTTAAGCGTGAACAAATTATCATCTACAGCCAAAACCACTGGCATAAACTTTAATAAATAGGAAATTTTAATTATTTTAGAAATTTTAGTCACAGAATGAACCACGAAAAATTAATTAATGTGATATTTCTTTTTTTCGCTGCGGACACTCATATGTTTTATTAGTCACGCGACATTTAGCGCGTGGCGCAAAATTTATTAGTAAGGCGTGACATTTAAACAATTATACTCTCCGTGACATTTATAATTGCGTGTAAACTTTAATATCGCGCGACTTAGATCATTTCTGTGCAAAGATTTAAAAGTGGCGTGAAATTTAAACATTTTGCTGAGACATTTAAGAATTTGGCGTGACATTTTTTACAGTGTATATATATATATATATATATATATATATATATATATATATATATATATATATATATATGTATATATATATATATATATATATGTATATATATATATATATATATATATATATATATATATATATATATATATATATATATATATATATATATATATATATATATATATATATATATATATATATATATATATATATATATATATATATATATATATATATATATATATATATATATATATATTAGGGTGGTAGTCAAAAATTAAATGTTCAGATTATGTCTAGGACAACCTCTAGTCCTGTTCCTATTGATCTCATGAACTCATGTGCTAAATTTCATAAAAATATTCCTTCATTAAAGGGTGCCACATGCCAACTGATAAAATCACATGTACGCGATAGAAAAGATAGCCGTGTAAATTAATGTGTTGTTGAATATTATTGAAATCTTTAAATACATTTTTTTATCTGTAAATCCATTTTGAACACAACCAGAAGTCTTTTTAATGAAGTGTACTCTTTATGTTTTTTTTGAGAATCTGGCCAGTTGTTAAATTTATCAACTAATTAATGTTCTGTATATGAAAAATATTTATAAACTTCCAAATACAGATAAAAAAAACAGAAATTTTACTTCATAGCATTTTTAGAAATTTGTTACATTCAAATAGTTAAATTTTTATATTTCCCAATTATTAATTACTTAGCTGCAGCCCACTTACTTATTTTTTCTATCCCAGAATTCCTTGTAATTTGCCACCAAACCGCCATTTTGTATGTTTATCACTATCAGACTACCAAATTAATTATTTTAACCAAAATTTTTTATTTTTAACAATTTTGCAGTGGAATATCTCAATTGTGAAAAGTCAGTATACATTTAAGTTGTTATTTTGTAATATAAATTATGTAAACTACTTTGAATTTTATTTTATATAAATTCATATCTCTAAACTCAAAAAAGATACTGAATAATGGATATCACTGAATATATACTAAATGAATAAAATTTTATAACTTTTGCAATTCACATCATGCTTATTGCATAACTTTATTTGTATTTTTCTAGATTAATAAATATCAGAAAAGGTCACAATCAAAACCTGCAACTAGATCTGCAACCAAAATTTACCTTCTCGGTTACACAAATGCCTCCATTAATGGTACTAGACTACCGTCACGAAAGCAAGCATTACAGTTTTTTTTCCATCAGTTGAAAATAAACAAAAAAAACCGTGCGAGAAAGTTCGGACATTACTATTAAAACAGTTGCTGATTTTTGGAACAAAGCTTACATGCCAATGACAACATTGCAACATGCAATTGCGAGGCTAGAGAAAATATACAACGAGTGGAGAAATCTACAAGAGGCTTCAAAAAGAGGAGGAGCAACTCAGATAGCGAAAGAAACAGCCTTTGTTGCATCATTTGAAGATACGTTTGACATTTCCTATGTTGATGCCGAGAGGCTAATAAAAAATCCAGAAGACAAACTTTTTCTTAAAGCTCAGCTTAGAAATGGAAGACACTCAAGTTCAATGGCACAAATAGACAGAAAATTGGCAGTCAAGTTGAAGCGTAAACATGAGAGACAAGAGGCTATAAAAGCCAGAACAGAACGAGAAGAATTGAGACATGCTGTCAGCAACGGTGAAGCTGTAGTTGAAACATTTGAATCAGATTCAGAGTTGCAATGAGAACGTAGATTCTGACCATGACTCAGCAGTGACACCGCAGACAAAACGACCTCGTCCAAAAAATATTGTCAGTCCACAAGTTGCAGCAGCTTTAGATCGAACGAAGATCAGCGACCGAAATGCGGTTTATGCTTTGGCTTCATTCTCAGTTGCTGTTGGTCAAAACCCAAGTGAACTAGCTCTGAATCGCTGGTCAATTCGACGCAATAGAATGAAACATAGAGACGAAACAATTTTGAAATTAAAGGACAGTTTTGGTGAAAATATTAGGGATGTTCCACTCGTAGTGCATTGGGACGGCAAGTTACTCCCTGATATATCAGGAAAACATGAAAAAATAGATCGCTTGCCTATTCTTGTTTCGGGTCAAGGTGTAGAACGTCTATTGAATGTGCCTAAGTTCCCAAATGGCACTGGAGAGGCGATGGCAAATGCAGTTGTAACAGCAATCTACGACTGGAATCTTGCAGAGAATATAAAAGCCATGTCTTTTGACACTACAGCCAGTAATTCTGGGATTCGCTCTGGTGCAGCAGTTCTTATTGAATAAAGATGAATAAAGAGCTGCTCCATCTTGCATGTCGGCACCATATTTTTAAAGTTGTTCTTGGAGATGTGTTTAACTCATTAGCTGGACCATCTACTGGACCAGACATTTTGATGTTTAAAAGGTTTCAAACAGCATGGCCATTAATCGTTCGTGACAGATAAGTTCAGTTCATGAAGACGGTATATCAGATCCTAAAACAGCTTTAGTTTTTAGCAGCAACAGAGAAATGATGAAAGAAGCTATTGATTTCATTCAGAACTGCTTGCTGACAGAGAACCAGCCTCGTGATGATTATAGGGAACTTTTAGAACTGTCTTTGATCTACCTGGGTCATATTTCTCCTCGCGGGATTCATTTTATGGCTCCTGGGGCTATGCATCGGGCCAGATGGATAGCCAAGGCTATTTATTCAATCAAAATTTTTCTCTTCAGATCCCAGTTTCGCATGACGAAGCGTGAAATAAATTTATCACGTTTCTTGAATATTTTTGTCTGCTTTGTCTATCTCAACTCATGGTTTACTGCTTCGCTGTCCATTCAAGCTCCACTGAATGATCTCATGTGCCTTAAACGACTCACACAATTCAGGACAATAAATTTAAATGTTGCAAATGTAGCGATAAAGGCATTGTCTCGTCATATGTGGTACCTCAGTGAGGAACTGATTGCCTTTAGTTTTTTTGATGATCGTGTTGATGCAGCTACAAAATACGAGACGGTAAATGCAATGGAAACAAAAACTGGAAATGGAATTCCTGCAAAACGTGTTCAACTACGTGAAAACAACATTTCATCATCAGAGCTTGCTGATTTCATTAATTCGAACACCATGAGGTTTTTTGTTATATTGGGCATCTCAACTTCTTGGCTCGAATTGGATTCATCTTTGTAGAACGAGGACCAAGTTTTTATTGCATCTAAGCATTTTGTAGCCGGTTTGAGTGTTGTGAATGACAGAGCAGAGAGAGGAGTTGCTCTTATCCAAGACTTTAACCAAATTCTAACAAAAGATGAAGGACAAAAGCAAGCACTTCTCCAGGTTATGTCTGAGCATCGAAAACAGTTTCCAGATGCCAAGAAATCCACTGTTGTTTAACAGGACTAAATAGTCATTTTTCCATTCAAAACAAAATGAAAAACTAAAATGATATTGAAATTATAGTTAATTTTTCATGGTTTTCAATGTTCAATACTTTGTTATTTAAAAACTTTTGAATTAAAATAGTTTATATAAAAAAAATTTTTTAAAGTGCTTACAGCCATTAGCGTCAACCTTAGTGAAGCTTTCAACCCCGTGTGGCACCCCTTAATGATGAAATACCCTTCTCAAATTTTGCACATAAGTTTGTTATGCTAAAAGGAACAAAAATAGAGGTTGTCCCATCAATTTACTTTGAAAAAGTTTTTTGAGCACCACCCTAATATTGGTGTAATGTATAAAGCGAGAAATTTTGTAAATAGACATTCATTAATTCTCGCTAATTCAATACCATTCAAACTATGCAAATATCGCATGGGGTAGTGCTAAAAAAATTCAATAAGATCCTTTATACCGGCAACAGAAGCATATAGCCCGTTTAATAAACTTTAAAGATCGTTATACTCATGCCAGAGCTCTTTTATTGGAAATGAATGTTCTTAATATATACCAGCAAAATGTTTTTAATGTTCTTTTATTTATGTACAAATGTAAGATAAACCTAACCCCTATATCCTTTCAAAATTTATATGCAATAAAACAAAAAAACAAATATGACTTAAGAAATGATAATCTTATCAACATTATTCTCATACAAGTTTTGGAAGATCTCTTTTAACATATCGCGGAGTTCTTCTGTGGAACAAAATAGTTTTGAAAAGTTTTAATTTTTTTAAAGTTGGAGTTTTCTTACTTTTAAAATTAAGTTGAAAAAAGTTATCTTGTCAATTGATATTATCTTTGAGTTTATACCTTTTAAAAAAGTGTGTGGTTCCTGAATATATTGTTTTATTTTGAAATATTTAGTTTTATATAAATTCTTTATGTTGTCAAACGTTATTTTATATTTTGAAATATCTAATTAAATTTAAAATTTATTTTTAAACGTCATTTATTGTAATTATTTAACTGGTTTTATTTTTACTGTATTGTTAAACGGTTCTCAGTGACAGGATCTTACGATCCTCTTTGAGTCTCCGTGTTCTCATATTTAATGTACAACGATATTTATACCATAGTATATTGTAATGAGAAAAAAAAAAAAAATGGGATGATGTTTAGGCTAGCGATGTTAATTTATTCATTTTTACAAGATACTGTTCTAGTATATTTTCTTTTACTTCATTACTTTAAAATCTTTTGAAGATTATATTTTATTAAACAGAGTTTTTGTTTTTAAAATTTTTTTCAGAAGAATTATTGCAAATTAATTATATTGTTAAACGAAACAAGTTTTTTATATTGTTATTTATATTGTTTTTTATATTGTTATTGTTTTATGTATTGTTAGTTTAAAAATGAGCTACTGGACAAAACGAAGGAAGATTCAAAAAAATGTTGCATCTATTTTCGATGAAATTGCTGAAGCTAATAGTTTTGTTTTGAAAGATAGCTCATTACCTTTTAATATGAGCTGCAATAACTCAAAGTATTATGCTACTCCGGAGAGTTTTAAACCTATTGACACATCTATTTTTTCTTTAAATTCAGTTTTTCATGATTGTGTCAACAGCTCTGATGGAATTTGGGAAACCAATGATGGAAAATTAAATAGTTCAGAGTCAATTTTATCCATAGACAATTCAAATGTTATAAATGTCCTAGTTAATGATTTGACCAGTTGGGCAACTAGGCACAAAATTACACATGCAGCTTTGGGTGATTTATTGGTTAAATTGCGAAAATAATTTCCTGGCTTACCAAAAAGTCCCAAATCTATTCTGAAAACTGAACAATTAAATGTTGAAGTTTTTGAAAATTCCTATTCTTATTTAGGCATAAAAAGTGGACTTTTATCTGAAAGTACAGAATGTTTTACAGATAAGACTGTAACAATTCAAGTCAATTTTGATGGTTTGCCTTATTTTAAAAGTTCAAGCATGCAGATATGGCCAACTCTCGGTTTAGTGGAAAAATTTGATGGAATATTGCAATGTAATAAAAAATCATTTGTTATTGCGCTGTACTGTAACAATTGCAAACCTAAAAACATTACAGCTTTCTTATCTGACTTTGTTTTAGAAGTTAATGAACTGCACAAAAATGGTATCACACTTAACAGTCAACATTATTCATTTAGAATTTCTGCAATTATTTGTGACACCCCAGCAAGAGCATTTGTAAAATGCACTAAAGGTCATAATGCGTATCATGGCTGTGATAAATGTG